TTTAGCCAGGGATTTAGCTCAGTGGCACCACATCTGCCTCATAAGTACAAGGTTCTGACTTTGATCCCCAGTACCAGGAAAGAAAAAAAAAGAATATGAATATATATATATATGAACTTTATTAAATTTAGTTTAAAATGTATTATTTCTTTCTAATGTGTCATAAATTAGGGAATTATTATTAGCTACACTGAGGATTTAACCCAGGGTCTCATGCATGCTAGAGAGATATACTACTTCTGAGCTACATTTCCAGCTTTTCAAAATTTTTACATTGAGACAGGGCCTCAACAAGTTCCCAGGTTGGCCTTGAACTTGTGATCCTCCCTGCCTGAGCCTCCTGAGTAGCTGTGATTACAGGCATGCACTATGGTGCACATCAAGGAATTAATTGTTTTAAATAGAGATATGACATGTAACAAAATTTACCATTTTAAAGTGCATAATTAATTGGTTTCAATAGGGTCAGAAGGTTGGACAATAATCACCATTGTCTACTTCCTGAAAATTTCACTACTCCTCTCCTCTTCCAAACCCCAGCACCCATTAGAAGCCACTTTTCATCTCCAACCATGCCCTGGTAACCATTAACCCACTTTTTGTCTCTATTGATTTGCCTCTTCTAGATATTTCATGTGAACGGAATCATACTATGTACTATACAGCATTTTATAAATGGCTTCTTTCACCTCAGGTTTACAAGGTTTTTCCATGCTGTTGTATATATCAATATTTTATTCCATTTAGTAGTCGAATAATATTTTGTTGTATGCAATGCTATATTTATTAAATAATAAATCTTTTTGCTGTTCCACTTTGGAGCTATAATAAATAATGCTTATATGACCATTCCAGTACAAGTTTTTGTAATGGACATATTTCTTTCATTTGTTGTGGGTGTACACTTAGAAATGTAATTGCTGGGTCTTATAGTAACTCTAACATCCTGCGGAAATGCCACAGTTTTCCAGAGGAACTGCACCAACTGACATTCCCACTAGCAATATATAACAGTTCCAATCAATCTGTACCCTTGATAACACCTGTTACTATCTTTTTGAGTGTAGCAGCCATAGCGAGTATGAAGTATATTATTTGTTTTTGAGTCAAATATCCCTAATGCCTAATAGTTTTAAATATCTTATAATTTATTTACTGGCTATTTGTATACATTCTTAGAGAAATGTCTACTCAAGTTCTTGCCCTTTTTTAAACTGAGTTTTTGTCTTTCAGTTGTTGAAATGTAAGAGTTTAAAGTGCATTTTTATTTTCTTTCCTTATATTTTGAGATAAAGTCTTGCTCTGTTTCCCAGGCTGGCCTTGAGTTCTTGGGCTCAAGGAATTCTCCTGCCCCAACCTTCTGTGGAGTTGAGATTATATATTATGTGCCACCATGCCCACCTTTGAACTATATTTCACTGAGAAGCTCATACAGAAGGTTAGGATACATTAAGGGAGAAATAGATACCTGAATATTATCAATCTATTAAATAAACTATAGATTAAATCATTATTTAACATCTCTTCCATGCCAAACTTGCTTTTATCTCTTCTGATCTCTAAAATTCTTAAAGGTATTTTTTTGATCTCTCTTAACATGTCAGTATTACACTTAACTAACCTATCTTTGGTTTCCTTCCTCATTGCTGCAATGTTTTTACTCACTCTGATATGGGTCACATTCACTTTGGGCCTCTCTATTTCTATGACCAGGACACACCCAGACCCTCAATGGATCCCACTTAAGTTGCTTTCTTGCTTGCAGTTTCTTCTCTCCTGAAGCCAGTCTATATGCTGCTATCATGTGTCTTTCTAAAGCACAACACTGCTCACATCCCTTTCCTGCTCAAAAGTCTGTACAGTCTGGTCCCAGCCTACTTTTCTTTGCTTTATTCCTACTTTTCTTTCTTCTGATTCCTAAACCACAGATAGGCTACTTTGGGGTCCCTCCCTCAAAATTCAAGATAAATTTGCTTATTTGTTATATATTTTTAATTTTAAAATATGTTAATGAGAAAAGAGGGATGAAGTAAAAATATCAAAAGAAAATAAAGGTAGTTATTCCACAGGAAAATGAAGATAGATCTTAAGATCTCTTTTTCCAGTGTGGTTCTCAGTATTCAAAATTCTCCAGAATAAAAGGTAAGTTGCATAAAACTAAAACAAAACAAAACAAACAATACATAAAGCCACCAACTGCTTTAGGACTATTTGAAATAATGAGAACATATATTTTCATTCTGTGTCAAATACATATGAGCTAAAGTTGTAAACCTTTCAGTTCTCATGTACTTCTGGGTAACAGCAGTAGTATGTACTACGTAGTTTTACACTGTCACATGGCAAAACTGCTTTTTGTTTTGTGGTAAATATTTTTTCCAACATAAAATACCATCAAATGAATGCAGATGAAAAATTTAATACAAAACTAGAGAGAACCAAAAGATAAAATCACAGGGCCAGATTAACCCCTATAATTTTAGGATTCTATCAAACAGCAACCAACACAGAGAGAGGATATGAAAGGGAAATTTTCCTAAAATTTTATCTAGAAAATATTTTAATATTCAAACATGAATATTGAAATAATTGATAGTTTAAAAGGATGTGATCAATTATCCTATAACTTAAAGGTCATGTAAACTCATATACAAGAATGTGTAAGCTACAAACTAAACCAAATGCATAAGCAAACATGTTTATACTTTGCCCAGAGAAACCTGTGAGTAAATGTGGACACTAAAAGAATTGATGGGCAAAGAGAATGTTTTCCAACGTCCAGGACAAATATACCTGCCGAGATTGAGACAGAAGAAAAGGCTAACAAAACAAGCGATGTTTTCTATTTATAGATTTTCCCTCAGGCATAATCATAAAGTGGCATTCAAGTGCAACCGACGAAGTCCCTATTTTTTTTCCCCTCACAAAATCCAAAGACATCAGCAAAACCACCTATGTCAGTAATAAAAATAAAAAGTCTTTGACTTTTTAAATGTTATCATACTGTCACAGTGGAATAAAATTAGCTTGAAAAATGATCTGAAGGCACATGATGCAGTTCATTATGTATAACAGCAGCAGCAGCAGTTTCCCTGTGTTCATAAAGGCTGCTCCATTAAATTTACCTCCAGTCAATAATTAGGAGTCCACAAATAAACCTGGGCAATTAAATCAATACTACCAGGCAATTATATTCCAGAGTCCAGGCTCAGTGGCACAAAAAGGCACTATATCAAGCTGCAGTATTAAGTAGTCCGCTGCTGTTTTCAACAGGATTTTTTTATACTAACTGGATAGAATAAGCACATATCTAGATAGTGCAGGATGTGCGTACATACCTCTATATGTGTTAGCCAAAATAAGTCGGTCCTGTATCAGTATAACTAGTAAAATTTAATAAAGATTTATACATATTGACATTATTCTTTATGGTCATAACTGATGATAAACTTCTTAAAACACACACAGGATCATATTTACAAGGGGAACAGTTTAAAAAATCATTAAAAGGTTTATTTTTATCATCTTCACGCTAGAGGGAAAAACAACCTCACAAAAATCAGAACTGAACTCCTCATGTGCTGAGCCCTGAGCTGAACTGCGGCACACAACACGAGTGAGAATGGCCTCGCTTCTCAGAGGCCAGCTGTTACCGCAGAGGGCTTTGCTGAGTGTCTGCACATGGGCAACCCAAAAACTTTGAGCAAAAGCCTATGTTTCATTATTACTGAGGTGGCTCCAGATATTTCAAAAAGACAGAAAACTGATGTTAAGAATACGAATAACTGGGGAGGGATTTAGCTCAATGGCACCACACCTGCCACGCAAGTGCAAGGTCCTGAGTTCAATCCCTGGCACCCCTCCACCCCCAAAAAGCAAATAACTTATATATTGTTTATTTTTTCTTGACTTTATAAAAAAACAGAAACTATTACTTGTTAATATAAGTGTATAACAATTAGACTTAATATCAGCTTGTTTTTAATCTTTATAGAGAAGCATTTATAATATCTTTCAAAAATCATAGAACAACTTTTTTGTTATTTTGACAAATACATTTTAGCTTTTATTTATTTCAGATCAATTTTGAAATAAACAATTGGAATGAGCAAAAAACTAATGAAAAAGTTTTAGAATACATTACATGCTGTCAGTGATATCAAAACAAAAGCTGGCTATGACTAGAAAAGCAGGGCTCTCACCTGCCAATAAACTGCCCTTGATCACTTACAAGAGGGGCGCATCCCAGCAGACTGCATGTGTATTAAAAAAATACTTGAAAGGGAAGAGAAAGTACCACACAGGTCACAGCAGCAGTCTCAGCAGACCCCTCAGGGATCTCCGCCCGTCTTGGCCTTGTCATTCTCTATGCAGCTTTCCACTCAGCCCAGAAAACGTCGATAGGAAAATGTTTGAGGGGCCTCTGGTGGAAATTTTTTCATTCTTTCTGCATTGACAGGATGCCAAATCAATATTTACTTCCCACTAACAAGCTGCTCGAGGTCTCAGTAGAAAATATTGTAGAGAGTGCGGGAAGACACAGTAATAAACAGCTGTCTGGCTGTGAGGAAAACATGAATTGACTGGAAACAGGTCCATAGTAAAAGGTCACTGAAACCCATGAACTCCTCAGGTGTCCATATCAACTACTAACTTTAAAGACACATAATAAAGAATCCCGTTTCCTAAGAGGTCTGAGAGAATGGATCCTTTTCAGTCTGGCAAGCACAGAAGCTGACTCAATAATTTAATTAATGCATTTGCTAAGACCCATGTTGGCTCCTTCCCAAGGTATCTGTTCATTTGTTAAGTCCAGAAGTACAAATACAGGGTTAACTTTCCTGCCTACCTTCTGGGATAATTCTTTACCTACAAAAAAGTAAGTAATGGGTAAATGTTTAGAAAAAGTTAGTCATCTAGTAAAAATGTAACACTTACATTTTTATTTGGAAGTTTTACCGTATGAAGCAAAAAAAAAAAAAGAAAGAAAGAAAGAATACCTGTCCCTCAAGAAGTTTCTCAATGTACATCAGCCATTCTTTGTCATGTTGAGTGTCTATCTTTGTCTTTTTCGTTTCCTACAAAGATAAAAATACTGGTGTTGATATACTTATGTAACATGGTCACACTATTGGTTACTGAATAAGTCTAGAGGTTACCAGTAGAACAATTATTTGGGAGGGTACTGGGGATCGAACTCGGGACCTCACATTTGTGAGATAGGCTGCAGAACCACTGAGCTAAATCCCCAGGCCATCAGTAGAACAATTTTTAACAAAGAGCTGACTGTACTCTCAATTTAGGAATCTTTAAATTCATGCTCTTTAATATTTAATTTATAAATGTTTGCTTACATGTAGAAGATAAAGTTATATTTCTTTAAAGTTGTATTGCACAATAATTTAGGAGTACAGTATCTTATTTCTGTTTTCAGAGTGCAGCTCAAGACACAGACCGAGATGCCAGGCACTTCATACAGGTAATCAGGTTTTGAAACAAATTCATTGCAGTTTGATGCAGTTCAAAGAACATAAATGAGATGGCCTGGGCTTTTCTTGGGCAAGACACTCAATTCCTTATTTCGCTACAAAATGCAGGGATCATTTTAAATAGCCCTAGTCTGTTAATTTAATCTAGCAAATATGCTAAGGTGCACTGATCCTCCTCAGAACAGTGTATTTGTACAGGGATCCTTTTGCTTCAGGAAGGTTTTTCTTAATGCAAGAATGCAGAACTCCAGTGCTGTGTACTTTGATTTCACATTGCATCTGCCAAGAGGTGCCAGTGTTTCACAGAAATGCATCGTCTAGTCCTTGGGATTGTAATGAGGGATACATATACTTGAAAGAAAAAATTTTTAATTTGATCATTAAAAGAGGATGCCTTTTTCTAACTTGTCAGCTTAGAGAGGGCATCTTTTTAGAAACCTAGCAAAGGCAGTGCCCCTGTGGTACAGAATCTGCACAGCATCTGTGTGTCAAGTGCTCCTGTGCATGTGCACACAGACACACACACCCACGCAAGCACTTCTGCTGTATCTTCTTAGGTTAGAACTCCGGACATGAGTGGCCTTGATCTTAACTTTTTGGGAAGTTTTTCACTATTTATTCACAAATTTTCACTACTGTATGTAATGAAAAATAGTCAATATCTTTGCTGGAGGTAACGTTATCGCTAACGTGTCTCACATTTGATAATGCTCTTGCACTTCATAGTCCAGGATTTGGTAGAAAGTCAAATTGTGGCATAGCTGCTGAAATTAGAAACTTGATAATTCATCATCCCATTCATCCAATAAGATGAAAATACTCTCAGCAGAATTCCTTCAGCTTTTTTTCAAAGAATTCTTGACAATTTAAAGGCCTTTGCAAGTTGTAGATCTGATCACACAAATAAGTAGTTAAGCCTTTCATTTTAGTTATTTATTGAGCACATATTTATTTGGATGTTCTTAGTGCTATGATTGCTCCAATATTTTCAAACAATAAAAAAAAATATAAAGCTGGGCATAGTGGCACACACCTGTAATCCCAGCACTTGGGAGGCTGAGGCAGGAGGACTGCTACGAGTTCAAGGCCAGCCTGGGCTACCTAGTGAGGCCCTGTCTCAAAACAAACAAACAAACAAAACCCCCTAATATTCATGTTAAAGTTCAGAGACACAGCAAAATAGGGTCAAGCACTCCCTATAGGTTTCACAGAATACTGTGCACAGACCAAGTTCTCCTGTTTTAGGGGTGGAAGGAATTAAATTGAAACTGATGCTACTGAAGACCTCTAGCTACATGCATAAAGCTCACATATACTCACAATAAAAACATTTTCAACAATGTATTTTCAAAATACATACTGACCACCAATTTTCGGTTTAGCTGAATAAGCCAATAGATTTGCTGCTTAAAAACAAACAACAACAATAACACAGGTTCAGGATGGAGTTCAGAAGTAAGTGCCAGCCCAATATGAGTGATGACCTGGGTTCTATCCCCAGTACAGCCAAAACAAGCAAACAAAAAAAGTGAAACATTATACAGAATCTCACATATGACATACAGCTTAACTACATCCATTCAAACTGACTTAATTTAAAATATTAGTTTGGAAGCTATGTAATATAATTAATTAAATTAAAGGAAATGGAAGAAACAGGAAAAGGTTAACTGGCCAGAATGACAAGCAATCAAAAATACTGTATGCTGAGGGTTATTTCCATATTACACAGTTAAATTTCTCTAAAGGTTTTTTGAGTTGGTTAATGTTGGATGTATATCATTGCCACATTAATCTTACCTTCACAAATGTAATTTTAATGATGAAATTCTAAGAATTATAAAACAAAATATGTACTGAATGTGTAATAAGCACCTTATTAGTGAATATTTAAATGACATTACCACTTCATCTTCTGTGTCCAGTATTTCTTCGAGATCCGATCGTGAAATGTTCAGGATAGAAGCTGCCAAGGTCTGAGCTTTATGGGTTGACGTTTTACAAGCCTCTCTGTTTCTCTGCATTTTTTTAAACTCTCTGATTTTTTGCCTTATCACATGGACATCGTTTTGTAACTCTTTGACCAAACCCTGAAACATTGGAAAGAAATGGGTTCACAGGGAAGTCAAAATGAAGACAAAGCAGTCATAACATAAAAATGTGAACACACTAGCAAATCATTTTATTTGTATTACTCTGATTTTATTTAATTTGGAATACAATGGACTGCTCTTTACTTGTTGGTTTGCAATAAAAACTGCTTTAAATGGCCTCTTAACTTGCTGGATCAACCAATGCTCTGTCTCTCAGATATACTAACTGGCATGTTGCCTGTATGCTTGTAGGCTATGTTTAATCATGTCAAAACACAGATACTTCCACTAGTTGACCTTATTCCAAAAATTGGTTCTATCTATCTCTGAATATATATAGATCAGGGGTAACAGGTTATTACATAATTTATTTAACTATTACTTAAAATGATGAAAAGATAGCTGCAGAAAAGTTTGTTTCTATTTTACTAAAACTGAATTAGAAATGCTTTGGAAGGACTTGAGAAAGACAAGTTAGATAAACTTTCAAGTAAACCATGTGTAGGCAAGATGATAATAATGAATTTGAAACACATAGTAAAAAAGCTAGAAATGCCTCCCCAAAGTCTCCCTTTGAGGAAAAATGCCTGCCCATAATATTTTCACATGTGCAGTAGAAAAAGCTAATTTTTTTTTGCTTCTAAAATATATTTTTTGTCAGGGAAAGCATTGCATTTATTAATCATATGCTGAGCCACCATGCCTCAAAATTATTATGACATTATCAAACTATACACACAAACAGTTCCCCTTAGAAAATGGAGACTCCTTGGTCTAACAGAGCAGGGGTCCAGTTCTCCATCAATTTATGATGCTGGTGCTGGTAACAAGGACAATCACAGCAGCTGCCACTGGCTGTTGAAGTAACTTCCTGAGCCTTTAGCTGTACTAGATGTCTCACATTATCCCTACTCCTCATAGCACTTGTCTCGTTTTAGTTTATTGGTAAGCGTGCACAATACATGATGTTTACATTCCTGGTGGGAAGTTAGCATGTGTTCATAACACATCTTAATTTCTTACTTGGAAGGCAGAGTTCTGTGTCTCAGAGCGTGGTTTATGAGTTTTGAGCAAGTTAGTTAGATGTTTGAACTGTTTTCAATCTTCTACTTGCTCAAGTAAAGTTGCAACAAAAATAGTGCTCATGAATCAATTTTGTGCCTCTAGGATACAATGATAGAAGTGAAACTGATTTACCAAAGGGTAAAAACTGTAATCTTAAAAATTTTTCTCTTCCTGTCCAAGATACTATTTTTACTTCCAAAAAGAATCTATGAAAATACCCAATTCTGGAATTTTGGTGTATTTTGTCTGGCTTTTACTGCATTTTATGTTTTATTTCTCTTATTATGAATGAAGTTAAGAATCATCTTTGAGATACTGTATTGTATGTATGAGGCAAGTACAAACCATGATATTCCCCTGCAACTTTCAGGTTTTATTCTTTAAAGTATCAGCTCATTTTTCTTCCAGTGATTTCATCACTTTGTGGGTGAGTCTGAGCTTTTCATTCTGTTCTATTTCTCTTTTTACTAGTAAAATTTTATACTTCAATCAGCAAGGCTGAATAATGAATTTTAACATCTTTAGGACTCTTATTACTCTTCTTTTTGCTTAATTTTCCTATGACATTCAGTTTGTCTGGCTCAACCCCTCACTTCATTACAGCTAATTTTATACAAATCCTGTTAAATTTTATCACAGTCTTGTTTTAGATTGTTTGGATTATTTTAATATTTTAAGATACTGAATCTTCCTAATCAAAGAACACAGTATCCCTTTCCTTTTGTTTAAGTCTTTGTTTTATTTCTAAGGATTTTTTTTGTTTGTTTGTTTCAAAGTACAATACCAACATTTATTCATCTTCACAACATCCATGTGAGCTAGGTCAACATGTCTTTTATGAAAGTGCTCTATTGGGCCGGGGATTTAGCTCAGTGGTTCTGCTGCCTGCCTTGCAAGTACAAGGACCCGAGTTTGATCCCCGGTACCAAAAAAAAAAAAAAAAAAAAATGGTGTAAAGAGCTCTATTTATAAATTTAGTTTACTCTTAGGTAATTTATTTTATTTAACATGGCCACTGATTATAGCTTTTATATACAAACACTTTTACCACAGTTATCTTACTGAAATTTTTTATTTGTTATAGGAATTTTTTAGTTGTTTCCTCTTTAGTTTTTTTTCAAATTGAATTGTATCTTCAAAGACTTATAATTTTATCCCCCATTTTCCGGGTTTTTATAATTCTACTTTCTTTCTGTCTTCCTATTTCACTGGTTAAATTTTCTCTGGACAATTTTAAATAGTAATATTGATGAAAATACTTAACTTCTTCATTTTAGTGGGAGTCTTTCTACTTCCTAGGAAACAGAATATCAGCTTTGAGTTGGGATAGCTGTATTTTAAGATAGTAATTATATATATTTTGTCTATTTCCTAGAGAAATTGATACTAAATTAGCTTCAATCCATTCTAGCAATTATATAGTTTACCATATTTTTATCAAAAATTTATTAATATGATTAATAACCTTAATACTGAATTGCATTTCTTGAATAACCTCCATTATCATTTTTTCATGTACTGCTAGAAAAAATTTTGGAAAGTATCTTTCTCTTCCCATAGTCTATGTTAATTATAGTAAAACTGAATTTATTTTATCATTATTGCTGTAATAGCATCAACCTGCATTTGGCCTAGTATTTACTGCAGGAGATTTTTTTTTTTAACTTAAGCTTTTCCTTTATTTTTTATTAGTGTAGGTATGCAGGACATAATGATTTCATATATTGTGGGAATTTGTAACTGTACATAGCACATCTTGATACTTCTTTAGTTTTCTTCCCTCTCAATCCTTCCTGTTTTGATTTGCTATTTGTTAAGAATTAGTTTTATTATATATTCCTAGAAAATTATCCATTTTATCTAGGTTTTCAAATTTATTTGTAGAGTTAGTTAAGTAGTCTATAATTTTTTCCTTGTATGTATAGCTATTTTCACATACAACTTTCTTTTCTTTTCTTTTCTTTTTTTTTTTTTGATGGCAGTACTTTTCTATTTTCTTAGGTAACATGAAGCCTAATTAGGTAAGCTATTAGTTTTTTAAATTAGGTAAGCTTTATTGCTTGTTCATTTAAAACCACATCTTTACAATTCTACAAACTTTATTCATTAATTTCTATTTTTGTCTTTAGATTTGGTTTTCATGTTAGCTGAATATTTATTTTCATGTCTTATTAAATATACAAAGTATAAAAGTTTTTCAGCACTGTTAAACTGTATCCTATGGTTTGTAATCCTAAAGTGTGATAACTCTAGGGATATTCTGCAATTTGTTCAGATTTCCTCTTTAACCCAAGACTTAAAAAACAAACAAATTATGAAGTAGTGATTTCTGTTCTCTGGTTTTGTAATTATCTCCAGTTTTACTCCATTCTATGTACTATTTACAAATACTACATAATTAACATTTACAAATATAGTAATATATTATTTATAGTATTAATAGAAAGTTATCTGTACTATTTTGACCTTTTAGAATTAAGACTTCCTTTCGTGTGTCCCAGGTTGGAATCCTGGAAAAAGACTGAGATGAAGAGTTGTGTACAAAAGGTTTAGTGGGGAATGCCCTAAATAAAATAGGGAAACAGGACTAAGCAAGTGAGAAGTTGAAGTGCATTGCAGAATTGTTTTTTAACTGAAGTCCAGAATCTTCACTAGAACATATCCAATGCATGACACTTTATATCAATTTTTGTGGTTCAAATTATATTCCTTGACGTCTCTATTCCTGAAAACTATTTCAGCCTTTAATATATTTGTTCTAGACTAATATTTTATTTTGTTCTTTTAGATTCCAACTGTACTTATGTTGAATCTTTTTCATGTGCTCCATAAATCTTTTCTCCAAACACTACTTTTTAAAAATTATTAGGCATAATTAGAATGACATAAAGAACAGAGACTTTAAGTGTTATTTTCATGAGTTTTGACAGTCTGTATAATCACCAACCTACTCAAGATACCAGAATCTCCCTGCTGTCTTTTCTCAGTTAATTCCTCCCACACCCAGAAAGCAACTTTTCTGAATTTCATGATCTTACTTTTATCTGTTCTAAAATATTATATAAATGGAATAATACTACATGTTTTTTATGTACATAGTTAACATGGTGTTTTGAAGATTTATTCATTTTGTTGCTTGTATCAGTAATTTTGTGTGTTTTTCTTTTAGTTTACTGTTGAAGCCATACTTAATTCATTCAGTAGGCTGAAAGTATTCATAGTGGACAATTTCATCAGATTCCATACACACATATGTAAAACAATGCAATACTTTTCCTGGGGTATTTATATTTTCTTCTAGTCCCTCGCTTCATCTGCTCCCATTGTCCTACCACATTTCCCCTAAGTTCAAACATTTATTTGTACTCTGCCCTGACTTTTGTTTAAAAAAAAAAAGTCTGCTTCTTAGTAAAACATTTTTACTTGCTCTACAGCAACTTAACTCTGATAAAACTTGTTTTCCTATCATTTCATTTTTATCCTAATATGTTTGTAGAGATATTGTGCTGGCTCTTTTTTTTCGGGAATCATTTTAAGGGATAGTTTTTCTTGAAAGTTGATGGCAGAGGGACCTGGGGTATGTTCCAAGTAAGTAGAATGTTATATATGACTTAAAGTTGTTTTTCTTTTGAATTTTATTATCTAGGCTATTTCTGCTCAGTTTGTTTGTTTACAAGTAAGTGATCTATATTCTTGGCTTCTATGAGAAAAGACCCTGCTTGCAGATACAACTTGTCCGTTACTGTTTTACTCAGCTCTGCCTCTTCTTTTCTCTGAACAGACAAACCAGTTCTAGGATGGTAATATCATGAACTGTTTAAGCCTCATTCTGAAGTTGCAAATAAGGAACTTAGGATTTGTATCTCATGACTTTTTTTCTTCAAAGAATGCATTTTTGTCAAAAAATTTCAGAGATCCTGCAGCACTAACAACTCTCTTTCTAGCCTTATCTCTCCTTTATCTTGCATAGTCTTTTGGCTTCTCTCTCACTACTTGGAAATACTGAGTTGTAGAAATATGACCTTGTTTGGTGGTTAAAAGGACAGCATTTTATAACCAGTCTTTTTATTTGTTCCATCATTCCAAAGGAGAGAAGGGAGGGAAATCCTTGTTTTACCCCTCTACAATCAAGTCAGAATTTTCCTATGGGCATTTTACCCTAATATTAATTTCAAACATGGAAAAAAGTTGAAAAAATATTACACACACACCAACTATATATTATATATAATTCATCCATCTTAGTTTGTTGATGTATTTCAAAGAAAATTAAACATATTAGCACAGTTCACCCCTAAACACTTCACCATGTATACCATTAACTAAAGATGAATATCTAAGTGCTCCTTGCTATTCAAGGTAAAATGTATATAGTGAAATGCTAAGTCTTAGTTATATGGTCTACAAATGAAAATCTGGGGTAAACTACACTCAGATTAAAGAGAAGTTCCATCACTCCAAATAATTCAATTATATACCTTCCCACTCGATCCTCAACCCTCGGCCTAGGATTTCTGAAGTTTTGATTTCCATTTCCCTAATGATTTATAACGGTAAGCACCTTTTCACAAACCTCTTGACCATTTTCATGTCTTTTTTGGATAAAGTTTTATTCAGGACTTTTACTTGGTTTTCACTGATATTGTTTGTGGGTTTGCTACTGAATTATTTGAATTCCTTATATATTTTGGATACTAACCATTACCAGATATATGGTTTGCAAATATTTTCTCCCATTTTCTAGTCGCCTTTTAACTTTGTGGAGCGTTCCCTTTGCTGTATGGGAGCCTTTCATTCCCACTATGTATTTCTGCTTTTTTTGGTCCGGCAGTGTCATAAAAACCGTCAAGACCAATGTGAAGGAATTTTTCCCCTGAGCCTTCTTTTGGGACTGTTAAAGTTGCAGGTCTGATATTGATGTCTCTAATCAATTTCTGGCTAACTTTTTTGAATAATGAAGATAAGGGTCCAATTTCATTGTTTTACATGTGGGTACCTAGTTTTCCCAGAACCATTTATTGAAAAGATTATCCTTTTGCTCATTGTTGAGCATTAGTTGACCATTAATTCTGAACTCTCTATTCTGTTCTGCTGGTCTATGTTGTCTGTTTTTATGCCAGTACCAGGCTGTCTAGATTAATATAGCTTTGTAATATAGTTTCAAATAAGAAAATGTAATGTAATTTCACATAAGACTTATTCTTCCTATTCAATAATGCTTTGTCTATTCAAGATCTTTTGTAGCTCCAAATGAACTTTTACTATTTTTTCTATTTCTGTAAAAACTGTCATTGGAATTGTGAAAGAAAATGTATTGCATCCATGGATCACTCTGGATATATTATGGAATATTAGATCTTCTAATTCATGTAGATTCATGAAAATCTCCATTTATTTGTGTCTTCTTCAATGCTCTCTCTCCCCCCTCCCCCCGCCTTTTGTACTGGGGATCAAACTTGGGACCTTGCACTGTGAGGCAAGCAGCAGAACCACTGAGCCAAATCCTGGGCCCTTCAATGCTTTTTCATCAGTGATGTACTTCTCAGGAATCAGATCATCTTTTACTTAAATTTTTGTTTTGTTTTGATGATGCTATTGCAAATGGAATTGTTTTTGCTTTTTCAGAGTTTGCTATTAGAGAATAGAAAGAATTTGTTTTTCTGTGTTAATTCTGTAACCTGCAACTTTATAGATTCATTTATTTCAATAGTTTTCTGGTGGAGTCTTTGGAGTTTTCTATATCTACAATCATGTCACCTGCAAACAGTCAGTTTTACTTCTTTTGGCATGATTTGTGTTCCTTTTCTAAGGGTGAAACTAATTCTTGCCTAATTGCACTGGCAACCCCTTCCACTACTTTGTTAAATAAATGTGGTGAGAATGGTGCAAATGGACATTCTTGTCTTGTTCCTACTCTTAGAGGAAACACTTGCAACCTCTGCCACTGAGTATGACGTTAGCTGTTATATGTGGCTTTTATTCTGCTGAGGTATGTGTTAGCATTTTATCACTAGAAAATACGTGAGAAAAACAACTTAAAGAGAAAAGATTTATTTTGGCTCACATTTTCAGAGGCTTCTATCCATGAGTCTGTGGTCAGCTGGGTTCACTGCTTTTAGGACCATGACAAACAGAATATCATGGCAGAGGCTACTTGGAGGAAAACGGTTTACGCATTTACTTGGAGGACAGGAGAGAGCAAGAGCAAGAGTGGGGGAGGGAGAGAGGAGATAGGTGGGGAAGATGAGGCAGGGGAGATGGGGAGAGAGGAGAGAAAGGCTAGTGAGAGGAGAGAGGGCAGAAGGGAGAGGGAAGGGGCTGGGAGAGGTGATAGGAGGGAACTTTCTTCCGGTTTTGTTCCATCGGGGTCACCAGCCTACTGAACGGTACACTCACACTCAGAGTGGGTTGCTTCCCTCAGTTTGCTGCCCTGCACGCCAACCGTCTCTGAAAACAACCTCAAAACCACACTTAGAAGTATGCTTCACTAATGTCTTAGGTGCCTCTCAGTATCATAAAGTTGACAAGCAAAATCAACCATCACAAGTCGACTGGTTTTATACCCAATGCTGAATTTTTATTACGAAAGGATTTCTTGATTTTTGTTAAATTATTTCCTACATTTGATCTGGTGATATCATTTTTATCTGTCATTCTGTTAATGTGGCACACCACACATTAATTTGTGTTGAATTATTCTTGGCTTCCACAGATGAGTTCCACATGAACATGTTGGGTTGCATCTTTAATGTGCTGTTGAATACAATGTGCTTGTGTTTTGTGGAGGACTTCTGTATTTATGTTCATCCATGACACTGCTCTGCAATTTTCTTGTGTCCTTATGTGACTTTAGCATCAGAATAATGCTGGCCTGGTAAATTAAGTTTGGTAGGGTTACTTCCTCTTCAATTTCTTTGGAAGAGTTTGAGGACTGTTGTGAATTTTCTTTAAAATGTTTGGCAAAATTCACTCAGTAAGCCATGTGGCTTTAGGTTTTTTTTTTCCTGGGAGGTTTTTGACTATTGATTCAATTAATTATCTTACATGTTATTCATCAGTTCAGATTTGTATTTCTTTATGATTTGGTCTTTTGTAGGTATTCTTTTTGGGAATTCATATATATATTGAGGACTGTTGTGAATTTTCTTTAAAATGTTTGGCAAAATTCACTCAGTAAGCCATGTGGCTTTAGGTTTTTTTTTTCCTGGGAGGTTTTTGACTATTGATTCAATTAATTATCTTACATGTTATTCATCAGTTCAGATTTGTATTTCTTTATGATTTGGTCTTTTGTAGGTATTCTTTTTGGGAATTCATATATATATATATA